CTCCCGCTCACTGGCTGAGCGAGGCGCGGGAGCAACGCCGAGGCTTGCGATCCCGTTGCCGGTCCCCGGTCCGGTACGGGGGCAACACTGAGGGTTGCGATCCGTTGCCGGACACGGAAAAAAAAAAAAAAGAACTAAGTTTGAGTTGCTTGGAAATTCTGAAAATCAGAACAGCCCCATAATCCTCCAAACGTAGTCGACAGACAGGCTAAGTTCCAAATTACAGCCCAAACTGCAGTAGAAGGAACAGTATTTTGTCCAGAGTTTTACTTTATTTTGCTACCCATCAATGAAGAGTTACATGCAAATTTCTTAAAACCAAGTATCAAGAAAATATTCTACAGCAAAGATTTTAAAATGTAGGTAAGCATAAGAGCTAGTAGCAAAATACGAGGGGAAAAAAAAAGCTATGGCATAATATATCTCTCCGAGTGCCATCATAAGATTCTTAAAAGGCCACTTAAGGGAGGACATAGTCAGTCTTGAGTCTCAGTAAGGGGTTGTCCCAACTATGAACATATCTTTGCCTAAAACAGTAATAGCTGCCATCTTCTAGGGAAATACGTTATAAATAAAATTTATACCATCATAAAAAAAATCACTTTATGTGTACTTTACCACAATTTAAAAAACATGATGCCATCATATAATAGACATCTAAAAGGGTAGACAGCTCTTAAACATGCAAATCAGGCAGTATTACAGCAACAGGTGCTCATTTACCTCTTTGACTGAGTATTCCTTCAGGCCTAAATATCTCTGGAGTCTCAAAGGCAAAAATGCAGTCGCTTTCGTGGACTGTTTCCAGGTCGTCTGTATCACAAAAGGAACGATGGAACCCATCATAGTACATTTCTGTTAACACAATCTAAAAATGGGAAAAATGTAAATAGTTGGGTAACCAGAGAGTCAGTACAAATTGATCTCCCAATTGTATTGTAAGCTTCTCCAGATGGTTGGGACTTGCAGTGGTCTGAGAGGACCTCACAGAGCCCACATCACCTACCTTTAATGAGACAATCTTGGAAGCACAATATCCTCTGTAACTGGGTACCAAACAACACACTCTGATTTCAGAACTCTGTGGCACCAAACCCAGAGTTCCTCTAAATCCTGGTGTAGAAGGGACCCAGGAGGTTATTAAAATCCAGACCCTTTCTTTCACAGGAGGAAGAGAGGTCAAGAGACTTGGCTGCAGTTCTACAACCATAGGCAACCCCGTCTCACGCCAAGGACAGAGTCCACATCTGACTCAGAGACTTTCTCCCACATCGTTAAATTTTCTTCTTTTCAGGTTAAATGTCAAATAGCTATAGATATTTACATCGGGAAAAAATGAAATCAACCCAAATGTCCAACAATAGTGACAAACTAAATATATTGTAGACCTACTGGAACTATAAAGCTATCAAAAAGAATGAGCTAACAAGGAAAGATTGAGGTAAATAAAAAGCAAGGTAAAAAACAATATGTGTAAATGATTCTATTTTTATAAAATCATGTGGTGTATGCAAAGAAAGAAATCTGAATAAATACTGTATAACACAGTATTACAGTTAGTAACCCTAGTACTATGTATGAGATATTTTCATTTCGTTATATTTCTGAAATGGCTGAGTATTTTACAATAAAACAAAAACAAAAGATGGGAAGAAAAACAATGGAGACATTTAAAGACTTCATTACATGCTCAGCAGCACTATGTAGTGAAAAAGCACTGGATTGGGCATGAGGCAGTTCCAGTCCCAGCCTGACACCAACCAGTCCTGTGACCTTGAACAAGTCATGGTTTCTCCAGGCCTTCTTCAAATGAGGGGGTTGGAGTGGATGCATAAAGTCCCCTCTACCAGCACTAACATTCTACGCTTGTCTGTGAGGCAAAAGGGGACAGTGGCATATTCCAAAAATAGTCCAGGAAAAACGTTCCTGGCTCATTTTCCTTCTAATGAATTTAATGACCATGTTGTTTTTCTGCTGGTGAACAAGCAAGTATAATTTACTCTCCCCAGCAAGGTGAAGTTCAAAAAGCAAACCTGTAATTATTTCACCTATTTAAACCACAGGCGAAAAGAGCCAGACAGCACTGGAAGCTTTAAAGATGCAACCAGATTTGTGCTGGACACCACCAGAGATTCCCTCCCTCTCTGTCTTTCCCCTCATTCTGAAGGGGAAAAAAAGAATCAATGAGCTCTTCAGAGTAAGGAAGAACACAAACATTTCATCAGTGTGCCAGTACCCGGCCTAGGAAAATGAGATATTTGCTGTATTAGGGCAACACTGCTGGTTGTACTTGTTTTACTGTGGCAACTTCCGAAGTGAGGCTACATGAAGCCAAAGTACAAAACACCTTTATTATTCAAGTGATTACACAGCAGCTTCCAGAAGCTATCTAGGGAAAAGCTGTTTAGCCACTGAGTCATCTTTTCTTAGTAAATCTTAAACAAGAAATATTTTTCCAAATAAAATCATAATAAAGAGTTAAGTAAAAGCTATATGCAAAAAATATGCCAAGTCACAAACAGGCCAAAAGTATTTTTGGTCAATTTAAACATAGCTACTAATCAAAGGAGGGCACAACTTCCTCCACAAAAAGGAGGGCACAACTTCCTCTTACCTAAACAAGGTAAGAGACTCTGGTCTAGCTTTAATAAGAAAATGAAGCACATTGAGCATCTGTTAGGTACAGAACACTGTACTAGCAACATGATGTCCATTCCCAACACCATAATGGGAAGGGGTTTTCCAGAGTCACTGCTTGAGTTTTCCAAGCCTCTTTGACCATCACATATCACAGGATGATCATTCTACCATCCACACATGCACCCACAAGAATGATTTAAGAGGGGTTAAGTAATTATACTTAAGAAACAAAGCTACAAGAAAGTCTCGGTGTAAAGTCATAGTTTTTGCTTTTAAAAACATACATACAATTAAATGAAGCATAAAAAGTTTCTCTATATATTTTATTCTTGTGGGTCTTTATTTTCTTCCCCTCAACACTAGATGCAACTGGTTTTAAATTTCTATCTAACCATATTTTGCAGAGAGAACTTTAAAGAAATTCCAGAAGAACAGAAAGCAATACTTTTCTGGCTCAGGTATAATTGGTCTTAGCAGGCTTATTACCTGATCAGTAGGGATCTTTGTTTCCATAGACACTGCTTCCCGAAGCCTGGAGACATTCCCAGACAGAGGTACGGCCACACCAATCCTCATGCAGTGAGAACATTTCCCTTGATACACTACGGTGACATAGAGAGGCCTGTGCAGATCAAAGTCAGATCTTCTCATTAGTCACTTATTTCAACTAAAATACAGAAGAAGCAAAACAAACCTGATCTGAAATCTACACAAAACTGAAGCTAACCCACACCTTTATTTAGGAGCCAAATGGAAAAACTTCATTTGGACCTAAGTAGAACTATCAAACAATAATCAAGAGATCTTTGGAACAGGCAGTCTTCATAAAACAAAAATACGACATATTCAAATTTGGTTCTGTGCTCTGTGTTTTCTTTAAAACAAGGATTAACTCCTGGAAAGTCTGAGAAACAGTTCAAGAGAAAGCAACTAATTAAAAGTGCAATGTAAGGTCTAGAGAATCCAGAAGGCACTCAACAAACCCTCCCCCCATACTGTTTGTGGATGTCCAACTAAACCAGACTACAGCACTCGCCTGCCTGCCTGCCTCATGTGCCTGCTCACCTTACAAACTCAGGCATTTATTTCTGTGTGGTTTTAACAATGCCTGCATTCAATTTTTAATTAATCCCATTACTTGTCTAATAAGTAAGAAGAGCTAATAGGAGCCTACAGAGGAAAAGGAACACCGAACACACCTCACAGTCTTAATCTTACTAAATCTGTTTTTACCTTGTATGAGGAAGAGGAATTGGCAAAGAAATGCAGAGGAAAGGGTCAAAAGTGTTGCTCTGTTTCTGACAATGAGGACATGTCAAAGATGATCTTCAAAAACAAAAACATAAGACACATTAAGATCACCCAGAACTAAATCAACAGACAAAATAAGAGGGAAAATTTGATTTGCTCATACCTGTACTGGGCTTGAAAAAGTTCTTGTACAAAAGTGCTACAGACAGGAAAAGATGGTCCCTCAGGCATCATATCAGCCTCTGATGGTGGCTAAAAAAAAAAAAGGAAAAAAAAACACAATTTCACAGACTATAACCTCTTCATGTCCCTCCACCTAACAATTAGTTCCTGAGCATCCGCTACCATGTGCAGAGAGCACTGTCACAGGGCAATAAGATACAAAGATGAGACACAGTGCCTGACACGAGCACGTCTCAATCTGGTGGGAGAGTCAGCCACACACATATAGTCATGACAGTACAGTGTTTTCAGGCACAAAAAGACCTTGAATCAGAATAATTACAACTTATCAAAACTAGAAATTTGAAATTTGAAGTACAGAACAGAATTGTCAAAAACTTTAAAAGCTATGTGAGGAAAGCAACCCTTTCATCTTAATTTTTTACATTATATAAATCATTTTACCCATCAAATTAAGGCTACATGTATAAAAATTGAGGATAAATCACTATGTTTCTCAGTAAGAACATTCTGGGGGTTCAGTTCCTATGCTCAAATCCAATCCTAACAACAGAGACATCTACACATTTCCTTTTTGATTGTGTATCCATTCCAGTGATCTATAGGGTATATGTCTTATTAGAATAAAAAGTAGGGCCGAGCCCGTGGCGCACTCGGGAGAGTGCAGCGCTGGGAGCACAGCAGCGCTCCCGCCGCGGGTTCGGATCCTATATAGGGATGACCTGTGCGCTCACAGCGCTCACTGGCTGAGCGTGGTGCGGCCGGTCTCAAAAAGGACAAAAAAAAAAGAATAAAAAGTAAACATCTTCTGCTTAAAAAGCTAAGTGAGATGGAATCACTTGATTTTAGTCAAAGTTCGTCATATACTCAAATGCTTCCCCTCTCACGACCATAAATTCCTTGCGGACAGTGTCTCATATCTTACTCAGCACAGTAGTAAACAAGGTGAACTCTCTTTTAAGTATCCACTGAATTTTACACTCGTCCAGAGCTCAGTCAATTTCACTATATTAACTCAGCCAACCGCAACAAGTCCTCAGGGGCATTCAGTTGGGAGAAGAATCTACACTCTCCTCACTCCAGTGGCTGGTGCTCTCTGCTCCCTGACTGCCCTGGCGGAGTGTGCATCCTCACCTTCAGAGGGGGCTGGCTACCCTGCTTCACAGCATGATTGAGGTCTTCATGAACTCGGTCCAAAAGCCACAGCAGAAACTCCTGGGCATCGTGCTGGGAATTTCCCCGATACTGCAGTGCATTCTTTGACACAATACTCTATGCAGGTAAATAAAATGAGTACAAACAGTTGTGAGTTCCTGGCTTTAAAGATAAACTATTTATTCATAATCCCCAAAGCAGGATGCAAGATCTTAAGGGTGTTAGAGAGTACTACCCGGAAGGACAGCCTAAAAAAAAAAGATGCTTATTGAAAGAAACCTCACCTCCAGAAACAGGTACCAAAAACCTTAAAATGCACTTATCCATCATTCCTACTTTTAGGAATACATCTAAAGGAAAACATCAGGCTAGACTTTTAAGAAGATATTCATCAGAGTTTGTAACAGCAAAAAATTGGTAATAACCTGAACATCTTAAAATTGGAATTGGTTAAATTATGGTACAACTATATGACATAACCACTCTACATAGTACAGCTATATTAAGTCAAAAAGGTTATAAATCAGTGTGAAGTGTCAATGTATTCATGTAAAAAACTGTGTGTCTGTAGACGCTTAGTAGAAAAAGTTCTAAAATGACACATACAAAGATATTAAGTGCTATCTCTAGGTGATGGAATTAGAGGGTTTTTTTCTTTCTCACTTTTCATATTATCTAAATTTTCTACAATGACTATATATTACTTAAAGTAGTTAAAAATTTTGTTTCAATCTTACAATAAGATTTATTTAAGTTGATTTCGCTAAAATGGTAAACTTTTATGTAAGATACACTACAGCTTCAAGATTCACCACTCATTCAACTAAGATTTAATAAGTGCTCAAGGTGCCAACAGCCTAGTGAGGGGCAAAGGGAAAAAAGTCTGCTTAAAGAACAGCTTGATGAGGATGGTAAATGGTAGGAGCCCAGTTTCTCACAGTCAGAGGGGAAGTTGCAGATAAACAAGAAGAGAAGGCTGGACTACATCAGTTGGAGATGTCACTAGGAATTCATATTTAGCCTAACACAGATAAAGATTAGCAGATAAATAATTACAGATATTTATGTATATTTGGATCCATATACATACATATTTCTTAGCTCTGTTTACTGAAAGGCACAGAAGCAGAAATACCCCAGGAACAACATGCACACCCAGCACCCAGATTGTAGTTTCAAACACCATTCTCCAATAAAAAACGAGAGCTCCTTGGAGAAATGGCTGATTCAAAGGCTGGGACAGGGGCAAGTCAAAGGGACATAGGAACCAACCTGAAAGAGCTCGCAATAGCCAAGGCTGGAACAATTTGAGCAAGAAAATAAAAAACATAATATTGGATTCTAAGCCAATGTGAATGAATGAGTCTACACTGATATAATTAAATAACTGAGTGAATAAATAAGTGAGGAAAAAGACACAAATCTTTCTTTTGGAGGAATTCCAAATAATTTATGTCAATAACCTTCTCCGGGAAGTAGAGCTTACCGCCCCAACACTGATTGTGGGCTCTGATACTGACTTGCTTCCAGAGACAAGAGTATGGAAAGAGGGTTAGAATGTAACTTTACAGTGAAGAAAACTGGCTAACATGACCTCAGCTCCGCTGATCAAGGTTAACATTACCAATGGTAAGTCACGTTGCTTATACACACCCCTGATATGATGTGATGAGAAGAACATTTTACCTCTGTGTTCTTCCTTCCAAAAACTCATGACCTCAGTCTAGCCATAAGAAAAACATCAGAGAAAACCCAAATTGAGGGACATTTGCAAAAATAAAATCTGACTGGTGCTACTAAAAACTGTCAAGGTCTTCAAAGATAAGGAAGGTATGAGGAACTGTCACAGACCAGAAAAGACATGATGGTTAAATGTGATGTGCTATCCCAGATGGGATCTTGGAACAGAAAAAGGGCACAGGGAAATAACTGGTGAAATCCAAACAAAGTGTCAAATTTGGTCAATAGTAACATACCAATGTCAGCTTCTTAGCTGTACCAAATGTACCTCAGCGACATAGTATGTTAACGACATAGTATGTTAACAATGGGGAAACTGGCTGTGGCCTTTGTGGGAACTCTCTATGCTACCTCTGTAACTTCTCTGCAAATCAAACTGTCCTAAAATAATTTTTAAATGAATATATAAACCTTTCATAAATTTTATAAAAGGAGCCCTCCCAAGAAGAGATGTCATTTGAGCTGGGCCTTGAAGGATAAAGAGGCAGGGATTCGAGCTAAGGAAGCAACATGTACAGACACACAGAGGGGTAAGAAACTGCAACACTGTCATGGAAGACCAAGACATTCAATAGGACTGATATTCCAGGACTGTCAGGCAGACCAGGATGTGAAGAAACAGTACAGACAGAGGCCAGGCCAGGGAAGATTTTAAAGGCCACTCAAAGGTAGCACAGGGAGCCAGTAAAAGGCTCTAAGTAAACCGGTTAATTAAGATCATGGGCTTTGGAGATTACAGCCTGGGTTCAAATCCCATTTACTATTTCAGAGGCCTGGGACTACTCCCCTCCAAAGTAAAAAGGATAATAATGATTCAGTGTGGTGGTTAGATGACTATTTTACACGCAGAACATTTTACATGCAGATGAGATACAATGAGCACTCACACTTGGCTATGAGTGTTGTATTTGGAAGTAGGGAGAAAGAAGGGGAGAGAACTCACAATCGGGAGTCGTTTGGAGACAAACGATGAGGCTGGAAGTAATGAGGGTCTACGCTAAAGCATTGAGGACAGAAACGGAAAGGCAGATCTAAGAGAGATTTAGGAATTTAAGTGGTAGAATCAATAGGATTTGTGACCTAATGAATGCGGAGAGTGAGGAAGGTGGCATTAATGTCACCCAGGTGCCTTCACTGGATAATGGGTAACTGGTGTGACCCTGCATCAAGACAGAAAATAAAAAAGGAAGAAGTCTGGGAAAGAGGGTAACGAGGTCCCTTTAGAATCCACTGAATTTAAAGTTCTACGGAACTTCTTAGTGGAAATATCTGGTATTAAAAAAAAAAACTGAAAAATACAGACCTGGGGCTCAGTGAAAGAGACAAGACAAAAAATGTGGGAGCCAACAAATGGGTGGTGAGTATGGCTGAGACTGCCCAGGCATAGTCATGAGACCAAGCCAAAGGACACCTACGTTTAGGGGGAGCCTCAAAGGAGACTAAGAAAAAGCCATCGAAGACGTGTCAAGAAAATCAGGAGAATGGGGCCCCAAGAGTCAAATGAAGAGAGTTCCATGAAGGAGAGGGTGATCCATACTGCTAAAGGCTAAAGGATGATAAAGGAGGCTGAAGAACTAAAACCTTCCACTGTATTTCTAATTAAGATAATGATGATAGAAGTGAGAAGAAGAGACATAGCTGCCATTAGATTATGAAGAACCATCACAACTTGATGATCAATTAAATATGAATGATAAAAAAAATGTTGACAAAAAACTTGAGTATCATATGGGGGGTCAAAAGGACAGCAGAGGGCCGGCCCGGTGGCGCACTGCAGCAGTGCGCCGCTTGGGAGTGCGGCGGCGCTCCCGCAGAGGGTTCGGATCCCACATACAGACCGGCCGCTCACTGGCTGAGTGAGGTGCGGGCGCAACACCGAGGGTTGCGATCCCGTTGCCGGTACCAGTCCAGTAGGGGCGCGACACTGAGGGTTGCAATCCGTTGCCGGTCACGAAAAAAGACAAAAAGGAAAAAAAAAAAAAAAGGACAGCAGAGAGTACAAAGGTGTCAGTGGCAAAACTCACTAACTGAATGAATTGAGCAAGGGAGAGGAAAGACCCTGAAAACAAACAAGGTTCCAAGTGACTGGAAGGATATCACTTGGGTGTCATCTCAGAAACAGGTACACAAAAGGAAAGGAAGAACAGGAATGGGAAGAAGTCTTTATTACAATACAAAACTTCCCCCAAAGGTCAGGTGCCACCTAAATCAAAAATCCAACTTCTTTCTCAGTCTTCACCTCTTCAATATTCCTGTAGCAGTTTAAATACTTAACATCTTACTCCGTCTTGAAATGGTTTGGTTTCTGGCCTCATGTTGCCCTCATTTAGGAAAATCAAAACCAGAGCCGTTGGTATGTACAGTGGAAGAATGTGAGCTACTGAAGAGAAAAGATTTCCCAGTATAAAAAAATGCATCAAGGGCCGGCCCGGTGGCGCACTGCTACAGTGCGCCGCTTGGGAGTGCGGCGGCGCTCCCGCCAAGGGTTCGGATCCCACATACAGACCGGTTCCCGCTCACTGGCTGAGCGAGGTGCGGGCGCAACACCAAGGGTTGCGATCCCGTTGCCGGACATGAAGAAAGACAAAAAGGAAAAAAAAAATGCATCAATAGAAAATATCATTAGCACTAGCAATTAAACCTGTGGCTGACTCAGGAAAGTAGAGAAACAGCTGGCTGGTGCCATTAGATTGATGAATACAGAGAGAATCAGGAATGACACCAAGGTATTCTGTTTCTGACTGAGGTGGATAATAAAACCAGAAACAGAGGAAGAGATTAGGGGACTACAGAGTTTTGAACAAACTGAGTTTGAGGTACCTACATGATCCCAAGTGAGGCTAAGTATGGTGCTCACAAAAGAGATCTGGGCTGGAAATTTAAATCAGAGCAGCATATGCCTATCGTATGAGCACAGAGAGATAACCCAGGGAACATCTAGTGAGAAAAGAGGCAGCTGGGACAGAATCTTGAAGAATAATGGGATTGCTTGCAGAAAAGCAGCCCATGAGGAAGTACACCAGGAAGAGAGCCAGAAGAAAGTGGCATCATACAAGCTGAGGGAGGAGAAACCTCCAAGCAGAAGACGGAAGTAACAGTGTAAACCACTGCAGAAAAGTCAAGACAGGCACTGAGACAGGTCCTTCAGAATGGCAAATTAAGAGGCAGATTGCCCGTGCAATCTCAGTGAAGCAGAATATTGATCAGAGAGGGTTAGCAGAGAAGAAAAGGTAAGGAAATTGAATGACTTCCAGAAGACCATTCTTTATATCCAAGAAGCAGAGTTACAAGAGGAAGGAGAAAAGATGCTGTGACTATCTAGAGGGAAGTTACAGAGCAGAAGGACTTACATGCTAAGGGAAGGAGCTAACAG